TGCTGTCAGTACACACTGAACACTAATAGACTTTGGCTAAACAATCAAATTTACTTTTTTATGTTATCAAACTGAAATCTGTCTTACTTAGAGGTTTCCTTGGGATGCCTGCAGAGCCAAGAGGAGGCATACGCTGTAGGACCATCAGTTAGAAAAATCTAATGGGGATTTTTAAACTTTCCTCAACCACCATTCTATCAGCTCCATCAGCTGAACTAAGACAGCAATCTGTAAACAACAGAATTATCTGCATGCTCTCCTCTGCCCATCGTGGTTCATCATTCTACAGAATGGGTCATTTATCTTCAACATTCAGTTGAGTTTAACAAAGAGATGTCGAAACAAAAACCCTAATTCTGGTATGTAAACATTTGCCTTACAGATGAGCAGATCACTGCCATTAATTTTATGCAAGGATACCCAAACTAAATTAATAACTTCAATAAAAGCTACTGAAAGCAACATCTATAAGAAAATAGAGATATCTGCTAAATGGCTTTTTACTTCCTTTTAGGCTTCTATAGCACAGTGAATAATATGGTAGTGAAAACTGCACATTTAGTTCAGGAATTTAGAGAAAAATGTTGCATTCTTTTGTCAATGCTTAAGTTTGTGGTTGCAATTAAATTAAAAACAGACAGCGACTTCACCATACCCAAAATTTAGCTTATAGTATTTGTATTTTTCTAAAACTAGGACTGAGGAAACCTAATTAGAACATGATGCAAGGCAAATTTATGTACTATTAGCTCTAAACTTAACTGAGATGAAAGCATGGTCTTGCGGTGTATCACTAGCGTTAACACATACACAACACAGCTTTCTGACCCACAGTGCCTAAACCACTTGTGCCTGACATAGGAAAAACGGCTGTTACTGGGAGAAGACAAAGAATGTTGTCAATACTATTCCTTCCTGAATTTAGAAGTACCTTAGAACCTCCTGAGGTACATTTGTATACACTGGGGTACGTTTGTATACATTCAATGGCTCATACTGATCAAGAGGAAGTGCAGATCGAGTCTACATTTTCTTGACGCTCATTAGGAAATGGCTGTAAAGTCATAAGTCAATAGAAACAACTCCCCCAAAATGGTGGTAAAGTCTGTATACCATGCAGAGAGCAACTTCAGGATAAGATGCTTTTCTAAAGAAAACAGTTTTCTAGATAATGTGAGCACAGATACTTCCTGTAAATTTTACTAGCAAAAACAGAACTTCAACCTGAACACAGAAGATACATAACTACTTAGTGATTTTCTAAAAGTGCCAAGTGTTCAAAGCCAGTCAATATGAAACAAGTACTGATGTGACTGGATGAATGAGCAGAGCCTACGTATATGGCTTATTAAATCTAATTTCTTACAAATGCAGTATCTACAGGAGCATTACGTGCATAGCATAGACTTGACATCTTACAATTCTTTTCCCTCTGGTGTCAAATAAAATGGGTAAGTCACTGTCAAGGGCAATGACGTCTATTTCTAAGAAACAGTGAGATAAGAATGCAAAATACCATGAGTTTTATGCTTCTCATTGTCTTACATAAATATTGGCCTACCTTTCTACAGGAAATTCCAGATGTCTCAAGAAAAGTAACCAGTTGCACACTGACAACAGCTCAGTTCAGACAAGTGCACTGAACTCTTACACAGTTAAGAAAATCCTACCAACACCATACTGAAATGTATACATTATACATGACCCTTACCTAACATTTCCACATCAAACAATTTACCTTGATACATGGCAGCAGAAATAGGGCAGCTGATCCCCAAGGCATCCTCAGCCATGAAAGACTGACAGAAATCCTGCAGCATTTTCATCCCTAGGCCACCTCTTCTGTACTTTCTCCGGACAAATATAGTATCCAAAACTGGCAGCAAGTAACATTGACTGGTTGAACCATCACATAGGCTCCCTGAAAGCAGAGAGTAAAAAATACATTCATTTGAAAACAAAATTGGCTTTGCTGCACTAACTGCTGTGTGATTCTAGCCACACATACTGCTCTGATACCTTCCCAATAGCTCCGAGGATGACCCCAACTGACTGCATTTGCATAGAGAGTAAAACACTTCCCAGGAGGAAGATTTATGCCATCAGACTGAGGGAACCTGCTTAACATGTGGTTGACAGGTCTTAACATAGTATTTTCCAGACCCTGACTCTTCATAATCAGACCCACCTAGGTACACAGGCAACATACATAGGAAAGTTCACTGAAAATATATAACTGGGCTACGGCCAGAGAGGCATAAATATTCTGAATGTAATCTCAGTATATTCCTTTAGCTTTTGAGTATTCTGGTTAACCATCCCACAAACTCTTTTTATTAAATACACTGAACCACAAAACACAGCGTGATCTAAATGCTCAGAAGGTCTCTACTGCCCGATGCAGCTGGACAGCGGAGAAGGATTCCAGAGGAAACTCCCAATGCTGCTTAAGTGAACAATTTCATAATGACTGCAAGGAGAGAAGAGAGGCTCTCTTGGCCTCTGCATACATTGCTGTTGTGCCTCCCCAAATGGTATGATAATACTCTGAAGTATGAAATTTGACTGGCCCCATCATTTACACCTCCTTTCAGACTTTCACTGGTCAGAAAGTAACACCTCTTTTACTGTGTAATCAGTCTTTGATCCCCTACTTCAGTAAATTCATTAGACAACTGTACAAAATAATATTGCTCTCTTTCAGTTGCTGTTATCTGTCAACACATAGCCAGGAGTCATCTTCAGACCTTCGTTGGTATAAGAATCACACAAAAAAGTAAGTGTTGGGGTTGTTCCACCTGAAACAAACCATCAAACCTGGAGGTTGGACTAGATGACCTTAAAGGTCCCTTCCAACTCAATACAGTCTCTGATTCTATGAAACTGGAAACAGATCCCTAACTGCTCACGCTTGCAGTGACTCTGGGTCAGAGGAAGGGAAGTCCATCACTCGCCTCCTTCAGAAAACAGAGCAGAAGCCAGGCAGCCTCAACACCCCAGCACCAACAGGGAAGCAGACGACTTCCCAAAGAGGAAGAACCATGTCCGAGAAAGCAAAGTAAAATCCAAGCCTTAGCCAAACTCACAGCAGCAGCTTAGGTTCAAGCTTACACTGCAGCACACCAGAGTCACACCTCTGTAGGAAGATGAGTATAAACATTAATTAAGGCATTTGGATATAGAGCCATAAACAACTGAGTGGTGCATTTTAAGAAAGTACTGCAAGTGCTTCTTTGTAAGTCACTCAGTTTCCACTGAGTGGTAATTTACCATGCATGTACTTGCTTCTAGTCCGTCACTTAAACTACTACTACCAGTGTTGAACTACGGTTTTTACTCAAGAGTGGCCTTTGCTAATGAAAACATCGAGTCAGCCACTTGAAATCATGAGGACATGACATAATGCTCTACATGTGAACAAAATACAGACTCAAGTATAAAACTCTATTAAAACTCAGTTCTCAGTGCAAACTGTCAAAAAACTTAAAGCCTAGGGTTTTATTTTCCAATCATGTATGGTAAACTGAAACGAGCCCAGAGAAAGTTGATTAAGAACAGACATTCAGGGTCCAAAATGTTCACCCTAAACAACTTCTGGTCCTATTGCAGGAGGTACATTAGAAATTCACTGTACAACTTCTATACAGTGCAGGATACCATAAAAACACAACCTCTAACTACTTGACAGCATAAGCATTCAACCCTGAAATGAATGATCAACACCAGTTCACCAAATAACTACATCTAGGATAAGGTCACCATAGAAACATCTCACTGACTTATTTTCATTTTTAGAAAATATTTATAAAAAATTTATGCTGTTTCTATCTAGGTACATGGCAGCTGAAATAGAAATGGATATCCAGGCCTTTATAACAGAAAAAGATTACGTTTTCTTACTTTGTTGCTTAAATGTCATCAAAACCTTCTTTGTTTTCTTCTACACCACTTACTAGCGTACTACCCAGTCTAGTTTCAGTGTCTTGAGACAAGAAACTTCCATTACTTCACTAAGACCTATGTCACAGTTTCACAAATCTCCTTACTGAATGGCTGTTCCTAAATTCCAGTACAAGACTTTTACTTAATAGAACCATGTTTTCTTTACCCCAACCCTATAGCTATCTTAAACCAAGGTCTATTTCTGTTCCTTGGGTTGGTGTCTAGTTCCTTTTGCTACAGTCGCCAGGCCTGACTTTGATTACTCTCTTTTCTAGGATGCCAACTCAGTAACGCATACATGACTATATTTAGCTGTAGACCCTGATTTATCAAGGCTGTAGCTCTCCACTTAGCAGGAATCCACATCAGAAGAGTATGTAGCTACATAACCAATCCATTCACATCCAGGCTTGGTCCACCCCTGCTTAATCAAAGTGCATGCTTAACTTCAAACACATGTTGAAGCACATTGTTGGAAAAGGATGGTTTGTGGTGGTGTGTCTAACCTTTCAATATTTGTTACACATTTCACACAGATTGATGATGGTTCTACATGATGGGTAGTTACTCTTTTTTTCACGAGCCAAAAAATTGAGTATATCCCCAGTCCCATTGTTAGCTGCCAGCCCAACGGAGACTTTGGATTCCAGCAGTATTGCACCATACATTCTGAGAAAGGGACAAACTTTTCCTCATGAAGTCAGTAGCTTTAAGAATTCCTACATGTTACAAGTGTCCTTATAAGTTTATTATTATCTCATATAGTCTGTCTCCTATAAATCCCAGCAATCCCAGGAGCTGAGTGATTTATGTCTGTGCTCCTAATTTTGTGTTGAGAAGATGACAGAAACCTGTAATGTCTAAAATCACTGTAAATAATGAAACCATGAAGCCATTCTTCACCTTGTCCCTGGGAAACAGAAGAGTCATAGCCCACAGCAATTTGAAATAAACTAAACAAACAAACCAACCTTTGCAACAAAGGCCACTTTGTCTCTAGTTCCCATCCAATAGCAAAGAGGTTACCATAAGCTAATGGTGGCCCAGAGGTGACCACAAGGCTCTCACAGATCTGGTTCAGAGGTTTGTTCCACTGTCGAAACACACACAGACTAAGTTTTGAGGTGAGGAAGGAGACAGGGAAAATAAGGGCACTGGCGATGGAGATGGAAGCATTCATCCAGTCTGCCCTTTGAAAGCCTTTGATCTCTTTGGTTAGGTCACGAGTTCCAAATGACCAACTTATGAGCCAGCAAAATGGTAAACAGATATTACAAGGGCAGGAAAGAAGACAGCCATTAGCATTCCCAAAGAGCCACAAACCAGAAAAAAAAACAACCCAGACCCCACATCCAACAGACCCAAACAAAACAAGGTTGTGCATACTGACTGTTTCCCCGCTGAACAACTTGGCTTGGCGCACACATGTTTGGACAGGCCTGAAGCAGGCTGAGTGCTTGTGTAAAGGGTGGGGAATATTTCTGCTGAATAGAACCCAAGGTCAACCCATTGTGTGAGTTTGTATGTGAGAAGGGGAACAAAGGTTCTGGCTTCAATAAAATTAAATTAATTCATGTCTTGACTGGTATGTAGTCATTTAATTTTTATTACAGCCAGAACCTTCAGTCTGCCTCAGAAATGCACATTAAAAATATTATTGCTAGAAAACAGCAGGAGAGAAAAGCAATTATCACACAAGATTTCAGCTAATTGTCTGTCAGGTTAACTTCAATTCTGGTTTCATTTTTTTTTTCTAAAAGAAATGTATGTAACCAGTGAAAAGTAAAATCCTATTATCTTTTAAGGGATCTATTTCTAGAGAATACCACCCGGGCCACCAAAGTATTAAAAGAAATCTGTGAAGGCTTGTATGAAGAAAGGTGTGAAATGGATTTTTGCCTGGGTAGCCACTTTCAAACACCATCTCTAGGGCTCTGGGGTAACACAAAGCAGCGAGCGCGGCAGGGCTGCTTTGCTGCCTACTTGGTATCAGCTTAAGAGTTTTGGCAGTCAGGTGTTCCCAAACTGATTTGTGGAGCATCTCTGAAGAGTGGATGAGAAGCCAACAAAGCATTTACTCCTGGTTCAGCTGCATGTTTTACAGCCTTCTCAGAGGACCCATTTTCAGTAAGGCTGGTTTGACTCACATCACAGAGAACACCATCTTTCTCCACACTCTTACCACTAAGGTTTGACAAAAGGGACACGACAACCTTGGGAAGGAATAAGCTTTGACAATCTGACTCCTTTGCTTTTTGTAACACAGCTTGGTCTGCACCCGGGCAGCTCCTATGTGTTATCAAAACAGTAATACTTAACAGTGGGGGAAAAAAAGCTGTATAAAAAAAAGTGGGGTTGTTCTGTTTTATTCTTAAAGGGATTTAGACACTTCTGGCTCATAGCATCCTCCAACTTCCTTACTGATTTATCTGCATTATGAATCTTCTACATTCTCCTGACATTTATGTGAAGGTGGTAAAAGTCCATTTTCAGTAATTACCAGTCTTCAGTAAATAAAAAAGAAAAACTTTCAGGGAATTACATGGTCTCACTGCACAAAAAAAGTGTCAGTAACCATGGTCATTAATCCTGCGTCACTACACAAAACACATTCTTTTTAAGGTTTTTACACAGATTTAGAGCACGCCAAGAAAAAAATCTGAAAGAAATACTTAAAAGAATATAAAACAGACCTCAAAAGCCAAGCATCTATATGAAGGCTTTCTGCAAAATATTTCATTTTCAGATTGCTGTCTGCAAAGAAAGGGACAGGGACAGGGAACTGTCACCATTTCCTGTTGTACCTTTAAGCAGTTACATTCAGTGAGGTCCAACTCCTCAGCTGTCTAATATGGAAGCTGCTGACATAGATAAAATTGGAGACATTTATCTTGGCACGTGACAAAGTGTCTTATCAGCCTCATTAGTGGCTTAGTACGTCTCATCAATCTTTAGTATAGCCAGTGGTAAATGCTGCGTGCCTGTCATTGGACAGGAATAGGCACATACCAGAGAGGCTAGGGTGATGATCTGTGCAGTCATGAATAAATTTTGTTTTAATAAAGGTGTCTAATGCTCACGGAAAGTGATAGCCTTGAAGAATGAGTCTTCTGTTTATCTACACAACAGGTGCAGGATGGCCAGTGTCAGTAGTTGCCAAACTCTCAAAACTTTGACTTGCAGTTACTGCATCTCTGAGCGAGATGGGTGCTTGAGACCATCTGTCCCTCTTCAGCTAGACGATCAGAAGAGATCCCGTTAAGGATGTTCATGAGATGGATGTGTGGAACTGGACCAAAATCACCAAGTTCATTTTGTACAGACCACCTAGGAACTGGCAAATGGAAATGACTTTACAATATTGCCAAGATAGTTAATTGCAATCACTGAAGTCCACTGAAAATCTACTTTGCATAACGGCACACTAAATCTCTAGCAAAGCTAGAACAGACTCTCTCCTCCTTGGTCACCGTTCCTATGATACACCCAGATGACTTATGTTTGAAATAGCCATGATCCACAGATCGGTTCTGGCTTATTTGGCTCCACTGAAGCATGTTTTTTGTCATACTGTAGATAATGGAAAATTCACAGATGAGAAATGCAGTTGAATGCAACATCAGCATAAGAGTCTCAATTACCTAGTGAAGAAAATAAAACTATAAAGAATGGCCAGGTAATTGCAGAGCATGGAAATAAAGAGAATCAGAAGCACATGGTGGGCACAAAGGAAAATAATGTCTTCCTAGGACCAGAAGCTGTAACAGAGGTCCAGAACAAAATATAAAGTCCTGTGCTTAAAGTTGCCCCTACTAAATGTTCTGACCAGGACAGTAAAAGGAAAAAGAACTTACATTATGATTAAAAAAAATAAGTTAAACAAAAAGATCTAAAACAACCATGTGAAATACAACTTCTAAGAGAAGATTTTTATCTTAGCCTGTTTTGGAACTAATAAATCCACGGGTCTTCTAGAAAGTAGAAAGAATAGGAACAGCCTGAGCATGGCTGGTATGAAATTGAAATCAC